TATATATATATATATTAAGTTTGTTAAATTTTACTTTAATTACCTTAAAAGACACTCCATTAAAGATTTTTGTTAGTGTAATTTTTTTTACTGTTAGTACTGCCTATTAAATTCAACATACTTTTTTATATGAAAAAAATTCAATATTCTTTTAGCCTGCACCTTTTTTTTATTTTAATTTTTATACATTTTAAATAGCTTGAAATTAGTCTTTATTATCATTTTGCGATAACCTAATATACACTTAATCGCCACAGAAACTATTTTTTTTTAAACTTTTATAATGACTAAAATTAACAAAGAAATATTGAAGAACTAAAATTATATACATATATATATATATATTTGATGAATTAACTAAAATTATATTTAGTTACATAGACAAATGAGCTTATTTTTCTTTAATATGTTCGTCGGAAGAATTAAAAAGTTATAAAATCACCAAATGCGATCACGTATATCATATACAGTTGTAGGTGTCACTGGAATTGTCATTTAACCTTATAATAACTTTTTTTATATTTTATTCTGGGCTGAAGGTCATGTCCATGGCCTTATGAACCACACATCCAGTGTAATTATGAGCGTTGATGTTGAAAAGTTAATCCAAACAATAAATTAGATTCTGTACCATCACATTTCCAGAACTGATATTTCAATTTGATGCACCTGGCATATATGATGTATTTATTAATTAATAACAGAATCTTTGTTTTGTCGGACTAATTGAAACGTGGGAATCATATGTTAAAAAAGAAAGAAGATAGTTAAAAAGACACTGGAATAAGTGGATTCAGATGAAAACAAAAGCTGATGATCTGATTTTCCATGTTAAATGTCTTCTACCAAATAAACAAAGAGGCTGTTTGTCTTTGAAAGGTGTAACTATGATGCACCTCAAAAGTAAAACGTTGAGGAGTTGAAAGGATACAAATTTGTGTTCATCATGCCAATATTTACAAGCTAACAAAAATATGTACAAGAAAGCATGAAACACCATAATAGACAAATCAAACAGAAGGACTAGATCTGAGAACCCTCTCAAGCTTCTCAGCTTTGATGTAATCATTGTCAGTAAGAGGTCCAGCAGGAAAAGGTGTGATTTCCACAATGAGATGGGGAGTTGGGAGCTCATCAAAAAGAGCTCTCACATTGTTGCAACACACACTTTCTCCATGAGCACTTTCCCTTCGGATTTGGCAACCCTACAATTGTCATTTTTTAGCAGCATGCAAGTTAATCATTTTAAATTATGGGTGAAAAAATAGATGAGCAAAAAAAAAGACTGACAAGTGCAACAAGGCTGAGGACCAACAAGTTGTTGATCTGTGTAGTATTGGACTTGGTTCCTTTAAGTAAGGTTTTAATTTCAAGTGTTGTAAATGGAAACAAATATGGTTGGAAGGTGAGAATCTACTAAAGTGGTAAGTCAGGTTCTTCAACAGAGACTAATTATTAGCAAAATCACTAAATACTCCGTACCAATATCATTGTTATTAAAGAAACAAAGATTGAAGAAAAATTCAAACCTTATGAGAGGTGGCATCAACAAAGTGATCATCATCGGATAATAGAGATGCAATAGCTTTAAGAAGACGTCGTCCCTCGGGCTTGGATGGGACTCTATAATTCCTTCTAAGAGTACCCTTTGTTGTGGGATGCCATTTGCTAACAAATTTCCTTCCATTAGCTTCTTCTTTAGCTGACCACATAAAAATGCACAGAACTGAAAACATGTACTTTGAAACAACATCATCAATAATGGAAGAGAAAACATAGATAAGGAAACACATTGGATTTGCATGCATTGCAAGTGTCAAGATTTACAGATTTATGGCAAAGGAACAGTGGAAAGAGAGAAAGGTGAGTAACAATAATAAGAAAAATATAATAGACTAGGTATATGATGTTAAAATATTTTAATCCTGCAGTACTATTTATGCAGATATTTAGGGCAAGGACTTGTATACTAGTTCAATCTCTGAGTCACTAACAATAAGACCAACAACCCTAAAATGTTTTAACACTCCTAAAGCTTAGCATTGTTACATGTATCAGTAATCCCATAAAAAGAGAACAAAGACTGTCAATTTTTAAGCCAATTGATCTCATCTGAACACGGGAAACTAGTACCCATGATCCTACAAAGGGTTGAAAACCTATTGATAAGACAGGTCATATAGATCTCTTTCAACTTGGGAATTTTTTGAGGGATCAATGTTGAACCAAGCTTCCTTCTCTCTCTTGCTTCCCCACCTAAGACTGAGGAAATAACAAAACGCTGGAAACACCCTTGGCATATAGCCCTTTGATTCTCCTCATCAAATTTCCTCAACCTTTCTCTTCAGTGGTCCACTCAACCTACAAACCGGTCTCCAAAACACGTGTAAAGTATCATACTACTCCCCCAACATAGTGTGACATGGTAGACAAATAACCATACTCCATAAGCATGTGGTCAGAGTTTGATCTTGAAGGTTCTGTTTATAAAAGAACATCTGTTAAAAAAAGTTAATCTCTTAAATGGATCTTAATATTTTGAGAAATTAGTCTCCGGCTATTGGCTGGAGTTCATCCAAAATAGTATCATCCCACCAATAATGACCTCCTACCAAGTCCCCAAAAACAGTCAGGTATGGTACCACCCAATAACACACAAATGGGGTCCTTTACTACAGTCCAACAGTACCACAGCCCCGTTAAACAACGATTACAAAAACAAAATAGCCTTCACCTCCCTGACCAGCTAACACACGGCCCAAACCAGCTTAAATTCAACAGAAATATTCACACTTCAATAGGAAGCTACTGTTGGGATTACAAGGTTAACACCGGGGAAAATTCTATCAATGGGCCATGACATGAACCAACCACTCAATTTAATTTCACATTACGTCTTTACTCAAAACTTTAAGGCATCAGGTTTATGTCTTCCTCACTTATACACTATTGATATGTCTTCTCACTTATACACTTCTGAACATATCTATCTTGATTCAATGCAAGACTCTCATTCACAGAAACTATCACCGAAATAATGCAAAGTGGGATAACAAGTATATAATCGGACAAACATGGTTTTCCAAGTATGGTGTGGGCCCATTTAGAGAAGCCCAAGTCAGCAGCAGCAGCAGCAGATTCATCACTGGTGTGCCCAATTTCCAAATCTGAAAGAACCACCCAACTTGAGTAAAATTGAAGCACTCTTCCAAATAAAGGATGAAAATTTGAAAACAAAAAAGAAGTAATTAATTAATTTGTTTGACCTGAGACAAGAGGGTTGGCTTGAGATCCAGCCAAACCAGCCTTGAGGAGGGCATAGAAGATGCAGAGCCTTCCAGCCCACAAAACAGGAGCCTCAACCAAAGAGGCATTCACACAAACACCTCTTGTGCCACACACTGAAGAACTCCCTTTGAGTCTGAGTTTGAGGGAAATGGGAAAGAGGGTTTTGGGCAAAAGGGACACTGGCGATGAAGATGGATTGAGATTGTTGTGAAGAAGAGAAACGCAGCTGAGTTGCACCATGGATGCTGAAAGAGCCATTATTTCCTTTCTTTTCTTTGGCCTCGTAAATCACTGCTCATTCTCTATGCAGTGCAGGAAATGATATTTTCTCACTTCCATGTCCCCACCACGTCGCATCGCTGGATAAGGTTAATTTAGTTTTTTTTTTTAGGGTTAAATATGAGATTTTTTTTAAGGAGTTAACATGTAGTCACCAACACTACTTTGTATAAGTAATAGAATTTGTGTCTTTGAATGAGTTAATCATTCTTAATATAAATTTTTTTATATTGATAATTAATTATATTTTTAAATTATTTTATTTTATTTTTATTTGATTAAATAAGTAAATAACATAACATTATTAAAAGATATAATTAGTTGTCAGTATAAAAAAAATTTACACTAATAATGTATGAGTGATTAATTCTTTGAATAATGATTATAAGTATGAAATGAATTGTTAACGTGTAAATATTTAATTTGTATATATTTAAAATTTAGACAAATAACTACTTCAATCGTAATTTTTTGACAAAATTGATTTAGTGATGAGATTTAAGTATCATATATAAATTTTAGATTTTAATGTTATTGTTGTTGTTTTAATCTTTTCTATTGATAAAAAATATACATAAATTAATAAAGACTAATACAAATAATAAATAATAGATAGAAACTTTTTATGTATATTAATAAAGGATTGATTTTCTTGACATATGTATGACATTTTTTTTAATTAGGAGAGACAAAATTTATTTGGGTGATTTTTACATTTCAAAAGAATTCACTCTCTTACTATTTATTATTTTTTTACAATAAAAAGTAAGAAAATTAAATCTTAATTATATTTAAGAAATATAATTATTTATAAACCATATTATACAACTATATTTGTAATTGACAGGTTTGATACATCATGTGATTATTAAAATTTTAATTTAATAAATATACTTACTAAAGAAAATTTCTCGATGTCAGAAGTGAAATTTTTTAGTAAGTCTCTGCTGACTTTCAATTTAATAAGTAAAGTGTTGAATCAATTTAGAAATTATTGAACTTTGACTAATCACTAAGTCGACAATGATATTTGGTTTAAAAACCCTTAATATGTCATCAACTTTATGCTTTATAATCATGAAAGTGTCATTTTTTATGTATCATTATTAATGATAAAAAATTCACAAATGAATTGATACTAGACTTTTATTTTCACTCCTTTCATCTCTTTTGTTTAGTTTATAAAATGACTTAAATGTTTTAATTTTTTATTCTTAAATAATTCTTTACACTTCTGTTCATAATCACAATTTCACTTTTGAAATTTTTTTTTGAGATAAATATGTACTATTTTAAATAAATTTTTTAAAATAAAATATGATTGTAAAAAGGAAAACACTTTCTAAAAAGATTTTTTATTTCAAAAAGTATTTTTTGTCATCGTATATTTTTTCTAGATAGTGCTTTTTAGAATGATATGTTTATTTAACAAAATAATTTCTAAATTAGTAAATGTTTGTTGTTGAAACTATTTTCTGGAATGGTGTATATTTATTTTGAAAAGTATTTTTTTTGAATAATTTATTAGATAAATTAATAAGTTGGACATTTCTGACCCACCAAGTGCAATCAATAGCTATTGGTCATAGCCAACTAAAGCTAAAATTTTATTAAAGAGTATTTTCAGAGTCTCTTAAGGGAATATAAGGTAATTTACCTCGACATTATGAATAAAATTGAGAGCATGTATTTGTCATTAGTAGCTATTAAATACTACAACTTTCACATATTTTTTTTTATTTTTAATTATGATATTAGTATGAAGTATGCATCGTCAAAAATAGTAATTAATCTTTGTCGGAGATTATAAGTACATACAAAAATCATGAGCGGGTACAAGGTGAATATTCTCCTCCCAATGTAACCTATTTCATAGGTAATTCCAGAATTCAAACTCTTTGACAATTTGGTCAAAGGATACAAGTCGCTACTACTTATATCGGTCAATATTGGTACAACCTTCACATTTATGCATATGAAAAATTGTATTTTTATATGTGCGTTAACATTGTACAATTTTTTTTAGAGTTAAACATTTTTTTCTTATAAATATATAAAAATTCATTTTTATTATCTCATTTTTAAAATGTTAGTTTTTCTAAAAAATGTATTAAATTTTATATTAACTCTTATATATTAAACACAAACTTTTATCTTGTATAATAACATTTGTAAGTACATTTTTTTTGGTGAAAGGATTTTTAGAGATATTTTAAACTTTTTATCTAATTTAATTTTTATTTATCATATTCATTTATTAATTAAATTTTAATATTTTAAAATAAATTATCAATAAATAAAAATAATATTATGTTACAATATAAATTATTTACTATAAATCTAAAAAATATATTTTAAAGTATCTATTTATAAAACTTTCAAATATAATTTATATATTCAAATATAATATTTATATTTATATATAATTTATTATAAATTTTATTTATACTTAATAAATATTTAACTTGTGCAATTGCTAAAATTATAGTTTATTATTTATTTCATTAATCCAATTTAATAGTAATGTTTAGTTAAAATCTCAAACTTTTATTTTTTTAATTAGCATTCGTGCATGACATGTCTGGTGATATATAAGATGTCACCATTAAATTAGATTAACAAAATCGGTGATGAGATAAAATTTGACATATTTTTAAAAAAAGTTGATATTTTCAAAATGAGAGATTAAAAACAAACTTTTATATACTTATGGGAATGAAAAAAATGTTTAACTCAACTATGATAAAGGAAAATAACAAAAAAGGAGAAAAATATATGATATAAAATAATTAATGTGATAAAAAATAATTAAAAAAATTATGAAAAATGTCATATAATAATTCTATTATATTTTTTATTATTATTTTAAATTTTTTTATATAGTAATTGATTTCTAGAGCATGTTCTATTAAACTATAAATTAATTTTAAAAGTTTTTTTCCTTTACATTAAAAAAAATAAAAACATTTTAAAATATTTCACACGTCCAAAGTAATAATGAAGCGAGTTTTATACATATAAAAAGTATAATTTTTATGTATTGTAAAAAAGTTATACCATTTATTAATTAAAAATTATTGTTAATATAATTTTTTAAAAATAATTATTATAAAAGTCAACAAAATTATTATACATATTTGTTTATGAATTAATTATAATATAAACCTTCTTTACATTTTTGAATACATATACTCTTTACTCAATAAAACAAATAAACAAAATAATGTATGATTAAATAATTAGCCATAAGCATTTTATTACATATTTTTTTTTATAATTACGTAATTATGAATATCAAATATATATTTGACTTGTTTAAAGCAAGTAAATGTAATTTAGAAGATAATTTTTTTATTATAAATGTGTTTTCCATAATTACATAAGTAGGAATATCAAGTACATATTTGCTTTGTTTAGAGTAAGTAAATGTAATTTAGAAAATAAAAATATACTTATAATTATTAAATAAAAAAATTATGTCAGCATTATGCAAGTGGGTATTTTTAGTTGTCACATGGCAAGATTTTGTTTGTCTTTGAAAAATTTTGAAAATCTAATTTTAGTTCTCATAAAATTTTAAGTTTGATTTCATTCTTGTAAAATTTAAAACTTAATTTTTATTCTTAATTCAAGTTTCATTTAATGACACTTTCACCTCACAACATCACCACATTATCTTGTTACATCGCTATCTTGTAGATTCAATGTAAGACATGTCTCAATAATTAGCAATGCTCTAACAAATAATGCTCTAAGCAAAAAAAAAATATTTCTTACAGAAATATGAGATCAAACGTTATAACATTATTAATTAAAGAAGGGTGATAAAGACTGTGTATCGGGAGTTTAATTATTTAATTTAAATTTAGATCATTTGTTTATCATTATATTATATAAGATCATAAGGTTCTACTTCCACCTTTATTGCAAATTCATAATAAGTTTGAACCATTTTTTTAAAACGAGATTAGTCATTAAATTGGTAAACACAATAGCAAAAGTTTCAATAGTTTAATTATGATTAGTTCATGACTAAATCTGTATCAGTAAACCTATAATATATTGAGCAAACAAAAATAATATAATATTCAAAAGTCATAACCATGAATATTTATTTTTGCTACTTAATTTTTCCTTTTTCATAATAGGAGAGTTAACATGCAACATGATAAACAATTTTGAAACCAACCATGGAACATCATGATTGATTCTTTGCTCAATTTTTAGAAGATGGTTTCCACTATGCAATTTTTGGTTACGGAAGGTTGGTCAAGTGAATCTGATAAGATTTGATTCAGCTTCCACTCCTTAATCATGGAATACATGGCTGCTACCAAAACACTAGCTCATGTAAGGAAAGCAACTGTAACCGCAAATTCACTTATCAAAATAAAAACATTTACTAAAAATTCATGCTTGGAACTGTTGCACGGATTATCATTCTTAGATCAGATAAAACAAATGGACTATTATTACCAAAACATAAGTTTAATACCATAACAACACTTAGTTTATCATTACCTTCCCCATCCATGCAAGACATATTCTCTAGAAAACAAATATTTGTAGTATCTTCGGCTCACTTTCAAAACATAAATTATAGTAGAAACTTAGCACACTTTTTGCAATGAGCATTGATATAGATCTTATATAGAAGACTACTATATGGTTATGCAATAGAAGAAGCTCATTGGTGCAATACTTTCCATCTGAGTTCTTGAATTTCTACAAAGCACTATTTAGATTTGAGAACAAAGATTGCTTAGAGCTTGTTTTTATGTAGATACAAGAAATCCAACATCAGTACCCCTATAAAATCCATTATGAATCAAAGTTGTCAATTTTGATGGGCGTAATATCATCAGCAACATCAAAGTGCCCAATCAATCGTGCAAAGAAGACCATTTCTTGTTCAAGTGTAAACTTAATGTTCTCAGCCTGCATCCAACCAATTACTGCATATAGTCCCTGTTTTATTCAAAAATATAAATAATTAAATCATAACGCACCTTTCGAAAACCGTGTTGTTCTCCTTCATACTTAACAAGAGCAACTGGCACGCCTTTTTCCTTAACTGACTCGTATAT